CCCCCCCCCCCCCCCCAAAAAAATAGTTTTTGCTTTAAATACATTTAAAGATAAGGCAACTTTATTGTTTTCATATCAGTTGTAATATCTGAGATATCAATTGTTTTTTTTTTTTTAAAGTAGAACTCCAGGGAAACTTTTACCTTTTGATTGTTCCAGCTAAGTTACCGCTAATGCTGGATAGACCACATACGGATGACTGCTGGGGATGGCAAAAATATCTAACGGTATCCATGCCAGATATCGTCCGCTTTGATCTTCCGTTGTCAGCTTTGATCTTCCAGCTCTGCGTTCCAGATAGTGTGCACTGAAGGATACTGTTGCTTAACCCCCTTCCCCTAACCCAATCCCATCCATTCATAAAACATCTTGTATTCTTTTCACGGAATACAAGGTTTTATGTGGTTGGACGGGAGGGGAGGAGCTGGTGAATGACAGCGACTACCCCTTGTCTAGTCACATAACGCCTTGTATTTAGTGAAATAAAATCCAAGATATTTTATGAATGGGGAGAAGGTAGAGAGTAAATGACAGAATCCTTTGCTGTACAAAAACTGGAACTCTGAGCACCAGAGCTGGAAGATCACAGCAGTATCTGGCATGGATATAGCCATGATTATTAGTATATGCAGCTGGACCAATCAAACGTGTTTTGTGTTTTGGTTTTTTTTGTCTGTCAGTCCCACTTTAGGTAGGTATGCATTAGATGAAAATAATATAGGGCGGTAACCCCCCTTGCACATATCCCCAAGTGCTTTTGCTGCTGGCTCGCTCGGCAGGTGCTGAATGTTTTACATTTTTACTATTCACTTGAAGGTGGATATCTTGTAGTGGAATTCTGTTCCTGCATTGTAAATTACTTTTCTTAGTTGAATTAAATATATTGTGTAAAGCTGGCCATACACCTTACAACCATTGAACGACTTTTGTTGTGCAATCGTTGTAAGGTAATTAAAATCTCATACAATCTGCCCATCTTGGACAGGCAGATCTTACTTGCGATCATCGCAAGCCCTCCTCGCTGAGGGGGGGGGCTTCCGATGATTCCAATACTGAGCGGGCAGTGTGCGCTTGCGCACATTGGCCCGTTCGGCATTTGTCTTCCGAGCACGCCACTACCCCGACAAAAATCGCGCAATTTTCCGCGTGTTTGGAAGACAAAAGACGTGCGACCGTACAGTAGAAACGGTTGCACGCCTTCCATACACCTGCCGATTATCATACGATCGCGGGATGACCTGCGATTATCGTACGATAATCGGCAGATGTATGGGCACCTTAATGCAGACCTAGATGTAGCTACACCCTTTGATAAGTATGCCAGTTATATTTATATTAATAGTCTTCTTTTTTCCCCTCATCTTTATCAGTCACCAGAGAAGCCTCTTACAATCACTGAACCAGCACAGGGGTTACTGACCTATCCATCAGACTGGAGTCTCAAGACACGTCTTTTATTTACCTCCCCCCATCCATTTTCCTGGACCGATCACTTAAAAGCTCAGGAAGAAGCTCAGGGCCTAGTTCTACATTGTCGGGCCACACCAGTCAGCCTGCCTCAAATAATAGCGGTAATTATAATGTTATTTATTTATTTTTGCTTCATTTATGTCCTCACCAGGAGCTGCGGCCATCTGTATCTCCCTAAATTATCGAATTACAGGGACATTCTCCTCAGTGACTCTTGGGTAAAGATTTAATCCACAGCACATGGCTCCAGTACATGAATACGTTTGTTCCCCCAAAACTCTACAAAAAAAAAAAAAGGTTTTGGCTTTAGATTCACTTAAAGACACAAGGCCACTTTATTGTGCTAATATCAGTTGTAATATCTAAGTTTTTTTAAAGATGTTATAGTGATGAGTTGGTGCTATTGCCTTTTTAAAGTGGAATGTCAGTGTGGTTACACTTTTAGCATGTCATGACTGGTTTCAATCACAAAATAAAGTTCTCCTTTTCCCCAACAAAAGTGAGAGTAACTCCAATTTTGATCAGAATAAAAAAAACTCAATCCGCTCTGGGTGATCAATGTACATTGGAAGGATTTTCACCAATTTTGTTGGTTTCCTACCCGTTTCTGTTCTATAGAAATAGCTGTTTGATGCAGCATGTCCTTTCCAGCCTGATTCCTGAATGGGAGTGTCTGGGTTCATTATAATCAGCTGGTGGGCTTCCTGTGTTGTAATATGGAAAGGTGCAGTGTCGGCATCCCTGAAATTCCTGTTGCAAAAATTGTACTGGTCTTAATGCAGATTTCTGGGGAAATTAGTCAGCCAAGTACAGAAGCAGCAAGTGACATTTCTGGGGGCATTCCATACACCAACTGTGTACAGAAATCCTTCAGGTCATCCTATTGCACTGAT